TACGCGCGTCCTTTTATACATTGCTTCTACTTTATTTACGCACGTAAATTTACGTACATAAGCACGTCAAAATTACGCAACAGTGCAAATCCACCATAATGGAGCGAAGCTGCGCCTGGTCGATCTCTAAAGTGGAGTGTCACATATCAGGGGCACCCAACGAGAATATAGTTCAAAACCACTTAAACATAGCATTGTTAAACGTATTTTAGTATTTAAACGGTAGATATGGGCATATTTTTATCCCCTAAAAATTTTTTACCTGTTCGGATTTCCAAGCTGAAAATCTAGTGATCCGAAAATTATAGGCATCAAAACTTACCTTTTCGAAAATTTCAGCCAGAAAAAAGGCTCCGAAAATTCTAGGAGACCTTTTCAGGGTAAAAATCCGTTAAAAATGGGTAATTTTACCATTTTTTTAGATGCTCGAAAATCCTAGGAGAGGCAGGCAAGCAAGAAATTTTACAACAAATGTTCCGAAAATTCTAGATCTCAAATCGTCTTCCGAACAGATAGTTTCCGAAAATTGACGTTGGGTACCCCTGACATATTGGATCAGGTGTTCATGCCATACTGGATAGCTTTTCGTGTCGACATTGAAAGCTATCCAGTATAGCATGAATATAGCCTTATTGTTTGTTTTTGTTGTTGTTTGCTTATTAGTTTGTTTTTTCGCTGTTAGAGTATTCCTCGTTATGAACACGGTCCCAGCGTGAAGATAATAGGCCTCTTACTACTACACGGGTTCGTCGTCCGAACTGAAAGTTACAGACCGAGTTTTTTCCTCTCGAATTTATGGACCAAGAACTATGAAGCGAACGGGCTATAAAACCGACGGAAAAGAAGATCCTTATTTTACAGTGCCTATTGTGAAAATAAGGACCTTAAGATCGGAGGAAGGCGACGGCAGCGAAAACGTCGCTTTAAAAGTGAATGCGCTTTAATTTCTTCAATTTTCATCTAGAATGGTTTAAGATTTACGTGCATGATAGTAAGCAGTACGTACGAATTGGCTCTGAAACGTCCGGGATGCGTAAATCTACACGCGGAGTTGCCCAAGAATTCATTCTGGGACCGGTCCTATTTAATGTGTACATCAACGATTTGCCTGGCGTTCCAGGTTTCTGCCCTCGTGACGAAACCCGCCACAAAAGTGAGTCCTCTCCAACGATAACACCGAGCATAGACAAACTCAAGAAAACACGTATATAAAAAAATAATGCTCTAAACGTTTATTAAAACAATACTTCCAAAACTTCACGATTTTAAGATTAAGTAGGCGTTTCAATAATTATACTCGCTTCCCTAAACAATTAAAACGGGATAATTATTCTAATTTCTAAAGACTAATGCGATATTACTTTTGATAATTATTTTACACAACATACACAGCGGTTTTTGAACTACTTAGTAGTTCAAAACAACAGGGGCCGCCCAAGGACTTGGGGAAGGACGAATTATACCCATTTCTAACATTTTCTCAATCTCTTTGTTGACCTCCTCTTCGAGTCTTGAGGTATTCTATAGGGTATACTTCGAATGGGTAACGACCCGCCAGTGTCGATTTTGTGTGTAGCTACATTCGTTAAGTTTGGTTTTCCCGAAAGCACATCAGAATACTCATGTAATAAATTTCTCACCTGGCTCCTTTGACCTTCGGTTAAGTCATCCGAGATCATAACATCTTCCCAGGTTTCCTCGTGACTAAAGGGAAGAACATTGTTTTCATGGGGTAATGGGATTTCTGGGGACTCTTCCATCACTAGAGCGGCCATTTCGTCTCTGCTCTGCCATTTACTTAACAAGTTAATATGATAAGTGCGATGCTGCTTGCAAGTCTTACCGGTGTCAAGTTCATAATTCAACCCATCTTCTAGTGCTCTCGTGACTGTATAGGGTCCTTGCCATTTCATCTCTAATTTACTTCCAGGGGTGGGCAACAAAACTAAGGCTGTGACGAGACCCGCCACAAAAGTGAGTCCTCTCCAACGATAACACCGAGCATAGACAAACTCAAGAAAACACGTATATTAAAAAATAATGCTCTAAACGTTTATTGAAACAACACTCCTAAAACTCCACGATTTTAAGATTAACTAAGTGTATCTATATACTCGTTTCACTGAACACTTAAAACGGGATAATTATTGTAATTTCTAAAGACTAATGCGGTATTAATTGTGATAATTATTCTAATTTCTAAAGACTAATTCGATATTACTTTTTTTTACACAAAATACACACGCGATTTTTGAACTACTTAGTCCACTTTACAACATATTTGCAAATTATCTTCTTCAAACACGCAATAATAGTTCCCTTTTTAGTTCACCTTACGTATAAAACAGAGTTCCTCGTCTTTCCTTTACTCCAGCCCGCCGCGACTCCTTCCGAACACAACACCAATTTTACTCGATCCCAAAACCTCCAAACTCCAGTAACCGCCTTTCTTTTATATCTTTCACAGACTTGCTCCGGCTTCGGTCTTCCGGTCTGCCGCTCCTCTCTAAGTCAGTCTGGTTTTCCGCAACCGTTTTTGGAGAGATGTTATGTAACGCACTGACTTCTTGGAGAGATGTTACGGTCTCCACAATACTTCTCCTGCTCTCTCAACTTTTACAGCACATCAAACTGCTTTCCCCCTACAAAATGACTTCTTTTGCCGTGAAGTTAAAAGGGACGCCTCTGCTGAAGGGATTTCAGTAGAACGGCTTGTGCTTCAAGGTCTCTCTCTTACAGTCTCTCTGAACGCGCCCTCCACACTGACTTTTTAGCGACGCGGCTCCTTCTTAATATCTAAAACTTCCAAATCCCATGCAAATGCAAGGTGTGGCAAAAGGGGACTATTGTAAAAGGTCCGATCCAGTAATTAACGGCTTACAACCAACAGAACGGCTTAAAATGAATATTTTACCTAATTAGTTTTATAACGAACAATAAAGTACCAACTGCAACAATAAAAGTTACGCAATAGCGTACACGGCAAAAAATACTTAAACAACAACGAAAAAATTAGCAGAAAAGAAGTAACTATTATTAATTAGGCATTCTATGACACCTCTCCCCCGTCCCCCCCCCCCCCCCCCCCACGCTTT